AAATGACGTGAGGCGTAATCACAGGGTTTTCTGAAGCAACATTATAAAACTGTGTTCTCTTCCCTTCCTGAAATCTTTGCATGTGCAAGTAAGGCTTTGGGGGAACCCCCCTCTGGGACTGTGACAATCTCTGCAGTTAGCAGGAACTGTAATTAATTTGTGAATTAGGGTTTATTAATTTACTTTTCTTTATCTGAACGGCTCTTTATAACCCAAAGCTGAGTTCGCAAAGGAAAGCATCAAGAGTTCCGTGAAATTATATGCAGAGACTTATCGTCCCCTCCTGTTAAACACGTTGCCTATACTGCGTTATCTAGTGTGTAGAGAATTTCTATCAAAGCATATGCCGAGCCACAATGCTCCCCTGTTAATAATTTTCTACGGGGTTCGATCATACGTGCTCTCAGTACCCCTCTGCCTGTGCACTAAGCAAAACAACGCATTCCCTCCTAAAACGAATACTGAAACCTGAATTCTGTCCAGTCTGGCAAAGGTGGTGTGAATGGCATTTTCTAAAGTGTTAAGTTTTGCAGTAGAACTTCTAATCTTGGCTTGTAAGATTGACCTTTCCCCAAAATGCCTATAAAACTCGGTCTTTTTAAGGCCTCGGGGGGTATCTCGATGTATTTTCTTCCTTGGGGTGCAGTAGCTGTACTGTCTCCCCCTATTTTTATGCACTGGAATTAAAAACAGGCTGAAAAGTAGATTACAGTAAGTTTCTTCTCAGACTGAGTAGTACACAACTCTAGAAATAGTTCTGTTGATTTTTGTGGGAGTCCTTGTGATGCTCGACAGCATGCACTGTGAGAAAACGTGTGAGAATCTCATCCCAAAAAACTCGGGAAAAAATCCCTCATGCCTTCCCATCTGTGCGAATAAGAGCTGGGTTTTTTTCCCCTTACACCCTAGAAACAGATTGTGTAGGCCTACTTGCAGCTAAACATTGCCATTTATAGTGAATCTGGTGAGCTCCTCTGGTATATTTTCTGATGCTGGCTACAGAAATATCAAGAGTTACAATATTTCCCAATATTTTCTTTTTCCTAGACAAAACATCAGCGTGCTGAGCTCAGTTATCTAGTTGACAGACCCCGACGAGTAAACAGGTATGAGCTCCTTGGCCTTGTTTTCCTAACGCATGCTTTAGCAAGTCTGAATGGGGCGCAGAAATGTGTTTACTGCAGATGTGAAATAGTAGGAAAGCAATGGGAAATGGAATGTGTGTGGAGGTATTAAATAAAACACTGTGGCCTAAATGAGTTGGAGTTACGGCTTTTCTGAACTGGTTTCAAAGCCAACTGAAAAGAGAACAAAATCACGTTTTGTGTTAGTCGAAAACGTGCTTTAAATACTTATGAATGCTCACTTCCAGAAAACATTGGCCTCTCTGAGTTAAAATTTAGCTCTCCAGCTTGAAGTAAAGGCTACCGAATTATTTACACCAATTACATGAAAACCAGGCGGAGTACTAACGCTTACTGTCCGTTTCAGCTAGCCTACCCGGGTCTGAAAATGCCAGGTTGGTTTCTGGTGGCCAGAGCACCTCTGCAGCAGCAGTGCAGCAGGCAGGAGTGGGGGAATGCAGCACCGTGTTTGGCCATGTGATGGCAGAAGAATGTTTTATGAGTTCCTCTTTCATGTTTATTCTAATGTAAAGATGTTTCTGTGTCTAGTTCTGCATTCCAGGAAGCAGACATAGTAAGCTCTAAGGACAGTGGTCATGGAGACAGTGAGCAAGGAGACAGTGATCATGATGCCACTAATCGAGGTCAATCCTCTGGTAAGTCTGATAAGAGAATGGAAATAGTAGATCTTAAAGCAGGGAGACTAGAAAGAACAGTTACTTATGGGCATATAATAGAAGAGTGGCATAAATAATGCGAGCATGTTGTATGGGAGGCTGGCTTTCAGTCAGCTTGCTACTACAGCTACCTGGGCAAGGAGGCAATTGTGAACCCCTTTCATTCACGGGGCAGAGTTTATTTTATTCATTTGGTTGGGTCAGTTTGGTCTGTTACTCTGCATCATTTGCTGTAGCAAAAGTTCCTGCACATTAAAACAAAGTTGTTGGTCCGTTTTATAGTGCATTTTTTTCAACGGCAGATTTGCAGAATTTCAAAGCATTAGGCAATTTTGTTTAGCAGGCACTTCAGCTGGCCTGGCAGTGTGAAGTGCAGGGGGAGTTCCCAAGGGAAAGAATGAACCCAGTGACTGAATGACAGCCAGACTGTGAGCATTTTTGCTGGGGATCAGTGGAGACACGTTGGGTGCTCTGAATGTGTAATACCTTAGCGTTTTCTGAGGATTGTTTTTTAATTCAATTTGGGGCACCATATAGTATAAGTGATCTCCATGTTAATAAGGCTATGGTATTCTTAAGTACATTTCTTTTAGTCCTGACAAAGGAAAGAAATGCTTTGAAAGACTATGATTTGAATCACCTAGAAAATACATACATTGCAGCGTTATTCCCGTGTGTACAGCTTGCTGCCTTTGCTCTCACACTGTCACTTTTCTTCTGAAAGGGACATTTGTTTAGAGCCTCTGCATTAGAATTCATTCTCACCCTCACACTGCATTTTAGCCACAAACGCTTGTGCTTTCCTCCCCACCACAGTCTCCAAAGGTCTGATATATCTCGATTCAGTACAGTGATTTCTTTCCCCTTGTTCCCTCTGTGCTCCATCACGTGTAAGGATTTGCTACAAGTGCGTCATACAGAATGCTTCCAGAGTCTCTCCAGTCATCCATTTTTTGCCCCTGACCCCCATCTTAGAAGACAGCAGGGCAAGGGACTCCGTACTGTCGTAGCAGTGCTGCCTCACCCGCGTGCTCTGTTAACGTCCTCTATTTTCTTGCGGCTGTAGTCACTGTGCCCTTAACGATGGGAAACCCAGGCACCAGGGGAAGAGGAGGCTGCTACAGGGCCCCTTTATATTGCTGTGAGTCATTAATATGCAGACCTAATGAGACTCGAGAAGAGCCAAGAGTCTCCGGAGCTCCCCGCTTCTTGCAGGGCTTCATGCTAAGTGAACAGAGTGTCTATTTTGTGTCTGGGAACCTGACAACAAACCAGGTCTTGCCAGAAGTTTACATCTGAACACAGAGCCTCTTTCATTTTTGGCCTATATATGGCGTATGATTTATTGTTGTTTTAAAAAGCCATGTATTTAGCCTCCCCCCACCCTTTCTTTCGCACTGTTTCTGATGCAGCAATCAGTGCTACTGAGTTATAAAAAGCTCCCTCTCCTCCTGCCCTCCCTGCATTCCTTTTTTTTTTTTTCTTTTACGCATTTTACTGCAGCAGTCATCTCAATGAACATTTCAATCAGCTTAGTCCCTCAACATAATGAACCATAATAACCAAACAGGAGAGAAAAGAATAAACATCTGCAGAAGGGGCTGGATTTGACTGATGGTGGGAATATAATCATATAGTTGCACATCAACTGAAAGCTATTTTCTTTTAGATGCATTCAGTGCTGTTATTGTTGTGCCTCTGCTCTTTATTCTTTCTCTCCATTTTAAAAGTAGTCTATCTCAGATATGAACACTGGAACTACTGTCAAACTTGGCATTAGTCCTTAGCTGGGCAAATTCTTCATTTTCATCATTTCTGTTTTATCAAACTAGGGGAAAAAAAATCTATGCTATACTTTCAAAATCATTTCAAATCATTTAAGAATCTGATGGGATTTATGAACTTCTGTGTCTTCACTGGTGATTCCATATGAACTAATGAAAGCTGACAATTAAGTTTGGTCTACTCACAATTAACAGTTTGAACTGAAACCTCAAATACACAGAACTTCCCATTGGTGCTATGATTTAAGAATAATGTGCATGCACAATTTTTAAAATGCTAGTTACAAATAGATACTTAAATGCAAATCTCTGTAGAAACTGCTTTAATCTTCTACATGCGTATACTACACTTTTCCTGTAAACTCTGGGCTGAATCCTGCTGCTGTGATGCAAAGAATGTGCCCCTTGACCTCAGTGATGACAAGATATTTTGATATAAAAACTTCACTCTTGCTATTAGCTGTTGGTGATGAATTTTATGGGGGAAAAAAAAGGAGCATTAATCTTGTTTGATCTTGAATGCCTGGAGGAAATATCTGAGGGAATGCTGTCTCAGATTTTCAGTCGTTCTGGTGCTCTACAATCAATTCTTTCTAAATTATGGAAGCCAAACACCCTGGTTGATAACATGGCAGAAGTTTGGGCTGGTTTTTTCAAGATGTTACCTGATACCATGCAGCATCGTATTTGTTTTTAAAAGCGTTGTATCTGCATCCAAAAATATTTAGTAGATAATTCACATGGACAAATAAAACTCACGCCCTGCCAGTTTTAGTCAGCAGCATGTTCTGCTCACAAAAGGTCTTTTTCCTCTTCTGTACATGACTTCTGTTACTGTCACCAGTGAACAGTTCTGTGGCACACAAGTAGCTATTCTGTAGTAGTCCATCGGTAGCCAAGCTGGCTGTCAAAAGTCATGGTCCATTATTAACTGGGAAGGAAAACATGCAGGATGAAAATCTATCACTGTGTCATAGATTTATCCTGCACAATTATTTAGTGAAAATTCTGAACCAAGCTGTTCTATGTATCATAAAATGTTTTATTATGTTTTGAGATAAGATTCTAGTTCACCTCTTCACAAAATATATTTTCTTAATAGTGACTTAATGATGGTTTCATATGTTCTGGAATTTGTGTAAGGGATTCATATTGTTCCCATTAAAGCACCACCCGAATGCCCCGTGATTATCCACATCCATGAAGTACAAAAGTACTGGCATCTGCATTTAGCAGGGAAAGGCAACTCAAAAGCCTGATTTTCATGGATGGAGTAGTCAGTTCATTGGCTGGGATAGGAAGCTGAGCTTTTTGGAAAATGACTTTCCAAAAGTGAAGAAGCGCAAGAAGTTTTTGGCAAACAGAGGAGGAGTTTCTCAAACCCCTAGTGCGTGTTCTAATTACTTGTACTTGTCTTTGTCTGAAAATTGTTGAGATAAAAGCTGCTATTTGTTGTAGAACAAATGCAACTAATACAACACTACTACCTATTATTAACACACTGTATTTCAATCATGTTCTGTAGGAGTAATTTCTAAGCATGAGGTTAGTTTATTTCCCATGGTTGATTAAATTCTTGGCCTCCCTTGTGAAATTGCCGACTTGGGTGCCAATTAATACTCTGCGTGTGTGTATGTTTAAATTGTATGATTAGACACCTGTCCTGTCAGATTTGGACTCATGCCATCAACTTATTTCCTATGGTTGCTCACTAGCTACTCGGCTTTCTCAAGCCGAACATGCAGAGTCCTTCACAACATTACCTTCGTTTCACCTCTTTCACTGAATTGACATGATGCATTTCAGGAAGGAATATCCAAGATTTGAAGATAAGTAAATGTACTGGCATATATATACTATAAAATGCATCAGCTTTTTTTGATAATCTCCTCTGTGCACTACCAGACAATATGCATTGGTGACCGGTTGAGATCTAAAATTAGGCTTCCTCTAGTGGGCTTGATGAAGAGAACTTATAGGTGTCTAATAGAAAGGCACAGGGTGAAACATTGCCTCGCACCTTCTCAGTACAGATTAGGTAAACCCCAAGAGGGTTAGCATGCATTATTGCAGAAGGGCCATGATATTTCAGTGTTTCTGAGGAGAAGAGTTTGAGAAGTCAGAAGAAGAATTTCAGTGATAAAGGGACAGAGAAAACCAGTATTCCTTCTGAGCCTATGTAGAGTGACAGCTAAATCCTGTTTTGAAGATCACTTGGGCTAAGAGTCTATCTCGGATAAAGTGAGAGTGAACATGAAAATGGCTTAGGAAAGTGCTTTGACTCAAGCTGAGGGCGGTTTCTTTTTCTTTTTTTCTCTTCTTTCCTTGGGCTGCATGCTTAATCATGTTCACATCTCAATGGTCTAGATAGGGCTTTGAAGTTGAGATTTGGAAGAGCTGAATATTGAAGATGTTTGAGTCTTTATTCATGTTCTCATGCAGATGAAGTCAGTTTTATCCAAGGCAGCACACCAATTACTTAGCAAGAAAGAATGATAACTTCATGAAACAAAGTCCACTTCTTCAGTAGATAAAGTCTTCTACGAAGGAGGTTAAGATCATTATCCTTATTTACCAACACAAAACAAATCATAGGGAAATGAGTAACTTGCTCAAGGATAATCTAACCAAATGGATAGTTGTTCTGGTAATGGAACCCTGACAAGGAGGCCTGGTTCCCTGTGTCACACCTATCTTGCATCTCACTAGCTTTTTTAAGAAAAACTACCACAGAAGAAATGGAAAATGCCATTTAATTCCAAGAAAGAGCCAAAGTTATGAAAAAAATGACACAAGTTGGGAGAAGAAAAAAGTCAGTAACAATACTATAAAAATACTTTGTCAACATTTAACTTGTAATTTTGCTTTTTATTACATCATTTACTCAGTAATACATATGAATGTGTTCACTCATTGCTGTAAAGGCTTGGTGTATGGCTCTTCTCCCTTAATTAAATTAAGAAAGAATACATTATTTAAAAATGGTTTTAGGCCTAATTTTTGCTTTGATCTGAACTGTCTTTCAAACCAATTAGAATTCATGCACATAGAAATTTTGATTTTCTTCTTTTGAAATATGAAAAGGAAGCAAATTGGGAATATGCTTCAGAAATGCAACACTACCAAGTATCTGATTCAAAGCACCTGAGTTCAGGAAATGCAGACGCAGATACCAAACTTAATATTTAACTCCTGCCTTAGTTTTTGGTTTCCTTTGAGGGAGGGGTGTTTTCCTTCAAAATGTGCAAAGTTAAGGTTGTGTGAGAGCTCACATTGCCCACTGGCCTATCTAGTAATAAGACTTGAACACATAGGAATGAACTAGTGGCCTTTGCCATGAGCTTTTATACGTATGCTGCATTTGGAATAGTGCAATGCTTATTACTTTTCAGCACTTCAGTGCACTATACTATCTATTTGTATCCACAAAGGACATTTGAAATCCATTATTCAGAGTCACCTTTAAAATCTCAGTTTATCTGCATGCAAGGTCTAATACGATAACTAAATGAAAAATATAAGGCATTTTTCTTTAATGTGGATTTGCAATTATGATGGATAGTTTAGTTCTGAAGGATCATATATATAACCAGATTTATGAGGGAGATGAGATGGAAGTGTTATACTGCTGAACATTTCTTTTTGTTATAAATCAGGAACATGATTCTTGGTGTATGAAGGAGTTCTGTGCTGAGTGTCTTACTTTGTCTAGCATGATATAGCCTGCCTTCTTGGGAAATAGCCAATAGTACCCCCCTGCCCCCCAGTTTTTAATGTTTTTCAATTAGAAACAGAGAATTCTATACCATGACCCACAGGAAAAAGGTGGAGGAAGAATAGCCAGCATTCCTATCATCGTCAGTGTAAATATAAATAGGTGCCCAGGGATTTCAACATCAGACTGCTAATTTGAATTTATTTTCTGTCAAAATACTAAACCCAAGGGCTTGGTTCTGCACCCCTTAAACTCTTAGGAAATGTTGTGACTGATTCAAGTACGATCAATACCCAGCCCAGGCTTCTCTGAACATTTTGTTCCCATCCTAAACAAGCATTTACATTCTAGCTGTGTGTTCCAGCAGTGTTTACTAAAATTCAGATGTATATATATATATATTTTTTCTTTTACAAGTTCTCATCTTCAAGGGGAGAAAAGTTTGTCATACAAGCTTACATTTTATATCCCCTACATTCATTACATTGTTTATTCAAAATCCTGATTCATAGTGCCTATAACATCTCTTTTATAATAAGCTGTTATATAATACTATTCAGTGCACTGCAGCAGACAAGCAGTATTCAAAAGAGAACTAAAAAAATAATATTTGGATAGAGACATTTTGCAGTTTAGCAGCTGATGTGAAAACAAAATAGTAAAATGGAGGGTAATTTTCCAGGGGAGATAAAAATCCATGAAGGGAAAATAAGGGTCTATCTTGGAATATATATCTTAAAACGAATATTATTATAACATCTCCCTCCCCACTGACTAAAGAATATGATTTAATATTTGTCCGTAAGTTTTTCTTTCTCCTGCTGTCTTTCGGGAAATGTTGAATGAATATGGCCAGTGATACACTGTTAGCAAAATGTAACTGTAATCATTTTCCTATTAAAAGTAGGGTTATTTGTTATTCACATGTAACTTTGCTAGGAAGTCTGAAGATTGAAATAACCATTTTGTGCTGTTTGTCGCTTAATTCTTCTGAATGGCAATATGTTAGATTAATAAAATATGTCTTTTCTTGCATAAGAGATATTTTTGTGCAGACAATTCAATACATAAGATACACAGACACACGGTTTTGTAGACACTGTTATATACTAATTTCTTTCTGGGAAGCCTGCATCTAAATCTTTCATTTCAGTCTTTGATAGCTACTACCACTACGGAATTTAGAACTCTACAATTTGTACGCCTTGCCTGATGATCTTCATCTGATTCCTTAATCATATCTGCTGTTCACGTTTGCATTCTTCAACAGTTCACTGATCAGTGATTTATTTTCAGACTTCTGCATGCCAATTATCAATGCAAGGTTCTAATCGAAACTGGACCTAGCATTGTATATTATTTAATTTAAAATTAGAAAGTCATTATAAAGTGAGATTAATCTGAGATAAAAAGTTTTTTTTCTTTCTTCCTATTTTTTCTAAGTGACTGCCTTTAATACTCAAGCACTTGTTGATAGCTCAGATTCTTGCTTGCTGAAGGGATTGTTTTGTGCAGTGTGAGATACCGCATAAATAGTACTAATATAAGTCAAATTATGGTTGAAAACAGTGGTAGAATTCTTAATACTAATCCTCACATTGGAGATCAAGCTAATCCAGTTCTTTACAGTGTTGGCTGGTGAATGAGCTACATTACATGAATCTTATTACAGCTGTTCCAAATTTTTTCCCATTTCTCTTGCAAGTAGTGTCATTTTTTGTAATTCTAATGCAATGCTTGTCAATGCAATGTTTATAACAGATTTAGTTCAGTTTTGACATACACCTATTCTAAGACACTCAGTCCTCTTTATAAATACAAGAAAAACATATTTCTTTACTGTTCTGCTTTTCTCTGCGATGTTGAACGTCAACTTGGAGGTGCTGGTATTTGTTTTACTCTATGCCTATGATTTCATACGCCGTTCCTCGCAAAACAAGTATAATCCAGCGACTTAGTGAGTCACAGTCAGGAAATATTCTTTTGGAAGTCAGATCTGAAGGTAGTCAATGGAAGCATAGCTTGTCATTTGAAATCTTAATAGCATTAAAGGATTTGTAAGCAAACAGTTCCGTGCTGGCAGGGACAAGTGTTTGCTTATGTAGGGGAAGCATTAACAATTTTGTCAATAGTATCCACAGCCATGTCACATCAGACTACAGCTATCTTTGTACCGCTAATTACAGTAATTTATTATAGGGTTCTGTCCCATTACTTGGATGACTTGATGATAGCAAGGACTGCTGCAGTAGCAATGAAAACTATCTCTGAAAGAACGATGTAACGATTGATTAAATAAGCCATCCTGATCACTTGAAAGCTGGATTCCTACTTTGTAAGGTCTGCTTTTAATATCAATAGGTTCTATCTATATACTAATGTATGCACAGATAGTTCCTCTATAGGACTCATTAATATTTCATTTTCATAAATGAAATCTGCAACTCCTCAATCAGGACATTCCATTTCTTTGGTCAGAGATACATTTATGTAGAAACAATTCCTTCATGTTCTTAAACAAGCATTTTCAACAGGTGAACCACAGACATCAACCTACAAGTGGAATTGAACCGTATTTGAACAGGTTCTAATCAGTGAGATCTGCAAGTGATTTTGTGAGACAGAACCACCAATACCCTTCTTCTTGTGATATTTTTGTGTGTGTGTGACATTCTGGCATTCAGTTACGCTTATTAAATGGTGTCTTTGGCTTCTGAAGACTGGACAATCAGATTTTTTGTTTGTTGAGGAGATGAAGGTAGTGAAGAAGTTCTTACAACATTTCTCTTTCCGCTCCTCTCTTTTTTCGGCATAATCTTTCTTATCTGTCAGCAGCTGTTCATGATGCTGAAGCTTATATCTGCAGTTTCTTTTTCTCTCATGCTTGCAGGCATGGATCTCTTCTCCAATTGCACGGAGGAATGTAAAGCACTGGGCCACTCAGATCGGTGCTGGATGCCTTCCTTTGTTCCATCTGATGGACGCCAAGCTGCAGATTACCGCAGCAATCTGCATGTACCTGGCATGGACTCCGTTCCAGACACTGAAGTGTTTGAAACACCAGAAGCCCAGCCGGGGGCAGAAAGGTCCTTCTCCACCTTCGGCAAAGAGAAGGCCCTTCACAACACTCTGGAGAGGAAGGAGTTGGATGGACTGCTGTCTAATACACGAGCGCCTTACAAACCACCATATTTGAGTAAGTACTATTCAAAAAGCTGTATGAAAGTGTTCCCTTTGCGGGAATAAAAATTAGCTCTTTCTGCTATTCACAGTAGGAACAATACAGACACAATTTTAGGAGCAGTGGGGAAAAATGGCTTCTCTTGGATTCAGGCACCACTGAAGAGGGCATTGTTCAGTGCTTTAAAAAAAAAAAAGACAAAACCTTGATTGTTTTTAGTGTGACATGATTGTCAACAACAAAAGTATCAGCTGGTATTAGTGGGGGAGTTGCTCAATTTTGTTTTCTGATGCTGGATTATTTTCAAAGTTTTCTTGGATAGATGGTTTAAACATTGACATTGCCAGGCTAACATTTTTTAAGACTAAAATTAAGTCAACAAAACTATCCTAGGAGCTTCTTTTTATGATTGGGCAGTATCTTGTGAATAAACAGTATGTGTATTATTTCAAAGTAACTATTTACATAGTTAACATTAAGGTTTGGAAGGAAGAAGAGAAAACTTTTTGCCTTCAGTCTGACCATCTTTCAGCCTACATAGTATTGACTTTTGTCAGTGCTCCTCCGTGCCTTCTGTCTTGTTCCAAAATCTTGCCTCTTTCTTTAGTCACCTTTTGACTATGGTTGGGTGGCATGAAAGAGCGTGATAGATCTCAGAAAAGACCTTCACAGTTCCTTTTGGAGTCTGAGACAGTTATAGAACCCTTGAGTAATACTTTGATCTACCACATTAGACATATCTTTTCATTCTATTTAGCAGCCTTCTGTATTTTATTAGAGACTGTAATCTCCTTGACTTCAGGAGCTTATGATGTTTATCTCATCCAAATAAGCCAAAGACATTAACATTGCAATACCGACCCTCTTTAAAGCAACAAAAGTCTTTTAGGACAGCAGATCAGGGGTAAAAAAAAGAATCTCACTGAATGGTATTAATTTATTTATTTTTATAAAGCATTTAGTTGTTCTGAAAGGTGCTGTACCGGCAGTCCTGGTGTGTGAGGATCTTTGCTACAGATCATTCTCAGCTCAGTTCTCCCTTCTTAATTACCTGTCCAGGTATTTCAGTCCTTCAGAGAGGTCTTTCTACCACTTCGCTCTTTAGATTTGATTTACTGAAAGTTTCTAAATTTGGTTACCAATTCTGATATATGAAATCCATTCCTAAAAAACCTGTCCTGAGACACTCAGCTTATTTTGTGTAGGCTAAAGTGTCAGGTATCAATCATCTGGTCATACTCTAAAGACCAACGTGAAATTTTACTTAGCTATGACCTAACGACTCATGACTCAAAAAAAAGTCTCTCATCATTCTCCTCTCAGAAACATTCTTTATTACTAAGCTTTAATCTAGCAGTAGTAATTTTATCTCTATCACTTCAGTTATAAATGTGAGTTTTGTGGCGCTGATGGTCTGATCACTGCAGAGTTCCGATGCAGTATGTGTATGACAATGATGATTATCATTGGTGACACCACAATGGTAGTTCTGCTCTGTTTTGTTCTAGGCCTGGGTATTTTATTTCAAATAACAATGAAATATTTATTTTATGGATAGTTAAATTTTGTTCAGCTAACATAAGTAGTATTGTTGTACAACGTGTTTACATATAGACGTCGGTCTACATTTTACACTTTTCTGGTCTAAGGGCATAAAAAATTGGAGTAAAATGTTGGAAGCAAACAATATAAATTAATCCAGATTTAGTTTTGCTTTTTTTCTTTGAAAACTTGAATTTCAAAAGAAACTAAAACTAAAACTGCTACAAAATGGAGTAAAATGTTGGAAGCAAACAATATAAATGAATCCAGATTTAGTTTTGCTTTTTTCTTTGAAAACTTGAGTTTCAAAAGAAACTAAAACTAAAACTGCTACAAAACAAGAGTAATATTTCTCTGGGTTGTTTTCCCTTGTTTAATATTTTCTGTAGTAAAATTTTAGATTATAATCATATAGGAAATAACAGGAGCAAAGAAAAGAAAGTGAGATAGTTGTAGCAATGAGTAAATAATTCATTGTTAATAATGTATTCAATGAATAAGGCAAGAGGAATGCATAAGAGGAAGTTGATCCAGGAAGGAACTTTAGTTGAGCCACTGGGTAATTGCAGTTGTAAAAAAATTAAATTCAGCTTCTCAACAAAGAAGATCATATCAAAATCAGTTGTTAGAATGATTTTTTTAGAAGAAGTGACTAAAATGTATGAAACAGAACCCTCATATTCAGCAAAAATGCTATATAAAAAGGTGCTGCATGTATGAAAACGGCCATATGAAAAATCAGTAGCAAAGAAGAAAAAGTATATTGCAGAATACAAAAACTGTTTGAACTACAACAAGCCTCTTTAAAAAAAAAAAGAGCTTCTTAAGCAAAATTATCAGAAAAGAGCGTAAGTTCTAGCAGGTAAACTTTAGGACAATACTTAGTGGAGATAAGAGTGACTTCTTAGAGCAAATAGCCAAAGGCATGCAAATAAGCACAGACAATTTTTAAGGTGTCAAGTGTAGTATGCTAGGAGAGAATTGGTGGGTCTCTTGAGCTGCAACTAGGGAGGACAAGGACATTGCAGAGATTCTAAACTGTTTCTTTGCATTTGTATTTAGCGAAGGAGGGGCAGAAAAAGACAGGCATATTTAGGAAGCCACCCATCGCAAGTAACCGTTTCAAATAAATGTGCAAGACTGAGTTATGGAAGAGAATATTGTTGAAAAAATTACTAAAGCAAGTAAGAAGTCATCAGTGGGCTACATGTTTCTTCAATTTTCAGTTTCTAACAAAAGCTAGTAACCGAAGAATATCAGAAGTCATGTTTATGGTTCAAAAAGGTACTAGAAAATCTTTGTACGTTAAGAGACCAGTAAGAAATCTTAACATAGGACACAAAATTGTAACTTGGGGAGGGTTAAGAACAAGGTAGCTGGTATCTGTGCAGGAAAACTGCACAGAAAGATTGTCAATCTATTAGAATTTTGATAGAGTGGGTGAGAATTAGTCAATATAGTGTATTTGAACTGTCAAAAAACCCCTTTAGCATAGTTTCTGTGTAGCAGAAGAAGCTACTAAAGTAAGCAAGTGTTGTCACGGGGCAAAGCATTACCAGACTCTCTGTGCCTAAGAGAAAAAAATCGAAAGGGTACATGGAACATTTCTGCAGAAGCAGAGTTCCCCAAGTTTCTATGCAGAGATCCACTGAGTTTAAAAAATTAATTATCTAGAAATGGAAACAAGGAAAAGTGGGTGGTATTTGCAGATGACATAAAAGGGGTTAGGTCAATCGAGTCTCTAACAGATTACGTATGCCCACATTGTGCAGTGAAGCATGGTCCAGAAAACCCAGTCTGCTTCTGACCTAGCTCACTCTGGAATTGAAAGCCACAGAGCAGCGTCAGCATGGTGCAAAAGCTGAGCGAACTCGCTCGCTTAAGCTGTGCCATTAGCGCAATAGCTGCAAACGTAAACTGGTAGCTCGATGTGGAGCTTTCACTGTGCCATATGAGTGTATCTGCCCAAGCTTGTGTCTGCTTGGTGACCCCCCGCACCGTGTTCCGATGAGCACATTCAGTGCAGAACCTTAGAAAAGCCAAATGAGGAAGGCGGCGTGTATTACAATGAGAAATTTGAACTCTTCTCGAGAAAAAAAGACCATGGGATAATTCCCTGAAAAGTGTCCCCCAATGTACAAAGCCAGCAAGAAGGAAATAAAATTCCAGGTTGTAATAAGGAATTGAATTGAAAAGACACTAAAAAAGTATTGCAAAACCCTTACATAAAACATAGTGATATGTTGCTCTAGCCAGTCTATTCATTCCATAGAAATACATAGCATAACAGCAAAAATACTGGAAATATTTCTATGCAAAGTCATATCAAAAGCTTAGTACTAATTAATTTAGACAAGCCGTGATAGGGACATGAAGTAAACAGGAGGCTGCATGAAAACAGAGAAGGTAAGCTGGGCGATTTTGTTTGCTGTTCTCAGTTACAAGAGGAGCAGCAAGGCAGCAAAACAACTGAAGGGCAACCAGGTCGTGAACTGATAAGATCATCCACATTTGATAAAATGATACACATTTGAGACAAATAATACAGCAATCTGTCGAACTTACAGTCATGGGGTATGATTGAAACCAAAGGCTTAATAGTGGTGATTTGGGTGTTTGCTCCTTTGTTGTTCGAGGTTTAGGCCATTGCATGGATAAATGAAAGCAGAAGCAGCTATATTACAAATTATAATGTAGAAAAAGATATTAATCCTCAGGCTTGAAAGGGTTCCTTTATGTCCCATTATGAAATTTTCACCTCACTGGTCAAAGCCATTGGACTTCTTCATACACCAATTTCCACATAAACATACATATTCTGTGTATTATTCTGAGTGGAATACACCAAAAGTAGAACTCCTTGTACTCAAATAATATATTTTAAAGAATATATTTTTTACATATGTTTTAAGTATTTATTATGAATACAAGTTATAAAATTGTTATAGGATCAATAAATCGTAGGGGGTTTGAAAACAGTTTTCTCATAGAGCGACTCCAGGATTCTTCTAACTTGCATATTCCTCTTACTGTGTAATTTACATTTATTTCCTCTTATTCATCCGTGTGATTTGAACACTGCCTCTCTGCAAACAGTTAAGAAATTTTCATAATGACTTGAATGTTCATAAAACATGAAAAAGATTCTGAACTTGACTGGAGGAAATAAAATAAGTGCAATAACTTTGGTGAGGAAAATAAAACGTAGCTTTTGAACAATTCCTATATTTTAAAAATATATTCTAACCATTTCTATCTAATTATTCATTCAGTGGCAGTTATATTAGCCATTATTTTTATACATATTTTTACTGTAGTGGCCAAAAACCGTAATCCAAGACTCAAACTCTGTTGTACCAGATTCTGTAGGATATCTAGCAGAGACTATCTTCACAATGAATACCTGATCAGTCTGATACTGATCTATTTCTAATACTTTCATATAGTTCTGAGGTGGTAACAGTGGGAATAGCACCATTACATCCATCTCAGTAGTGTTTTGGTCTATAATTGATGATAAGAA